CAAAATGAAATTGGGAATATTTTGGATTTATTAGGATTTTTTAGGAATTTTTGGAATTTTTGGATTTTTGGGCCATGGAGGGGCATTTTGTCAATTGTGGTCATTTTTGTCAATGTTGGCAAATTTGGATGTATTCAAAGTCTTTGGAACAAGTTTTGAGCAATTTTAGGTATTTTGGCAAAAATTTGAGAATTTTGGCCAAATTTGGGTCTCAATGGCAGTTAGGTAATTTGGAGGTGTCTAGGGCAAAAAGACCAAGTTGGGCATTTCAAGTAGAATTGGATAAATATCCATTCTAAAAAAACCATGAATCAATGAAATCCCCATTTTGGGCTCTCATGTATTGATCTTAGTACCCTCTTAGCCAAAAGGCTAGGGGTTTGGGTTGTGTGAGAAAGTGTAGTGTGTGCAAGCTAGCCTAACCAAGACCAGACCACTCAGGTTTTGTCCTCAGGATTGACACTCCTATAGAGACTCTCCTTGAGTTCCCTCATAATGATCTTACCTTCTAAATATTAGAGGTTAGGACCAATATGTGAAACTTCAAGTTGAGTAAAGAAAAGAGTTTTGAGTTTCTAATGGTGAGGGTACCTTTTCTAGTTTTCTAAGACTAGTCAATAGGAAAGTCCTATGGCTATACTAAAGAGGAAAAACTAAACCTCAACCAAAAGTGAGGTCAACAATCACCTCCAAAGTAAGTTGTTCGATGAGGGCAACCAACACCTCTTTTAAGAGAAGACGAGTGCCTCATCATATGACCACGAGCCTTGAACGCCTAAAAACCTGATCTGTAAGATGAAGGCAGACAAACCCTCTTTCAAGAGAAGATAGGTGCTTCATCATAGGACCGCGGGCTTTAGCCGCCTTCAAGTTCAATCTGTCCAACAAATATGACCTTAACTTTTAATTTAAAAAAAAATCAAAATTTCATCATAAAAAATATGAATACAGCTCATTATTGTGTTGCCCCCTTGACCTCAAGTTGGATGTTTATAGATCCAAGCAAGAGAAAACAAGAGAAATTCTTTGGAGGTAAAAAATCTAAATTCCTGAAAAATTTTGAATTTTTTAATTCATATATAATTTTCCTTTTAAAAATAGTACAAAAAATCTATAAAAAAAGAAAAAAAAATCAGAATTTATGTTCCAAGTGCGCACACACGCTTATTATTTACGTACACGCAACCCACCTTGGCGCGGACATGCGAGAACACATCTAGTTTGCCTGTACATGAGCAAGTGAGTTATCAACGCATCTGGCGTGCACACCATCATTGCTGCGTGCAGTTAGAGGTGTAAACGAGTTGAGCTTGAGCAAACTCATGTTGGGTTAATATTCAATTCGTTTGAAATTAATTCTATTCAAAATTGATTTATGTTCAAAATTGCTCGTGAACAATGTATTTCTGTTCGGCTCGATTTATACATTCTTGTTCGTGGTCGAATTGAAATCAACTCATTTAAATAAATTAGAAAAATAAATGTAGGGTATTAGATTCAAATCCGTACCAACAATATGACCGCACGATCTATGACAATTTAAATTTAGATATAAATATATACATAACATATTATTATATAAATAATAAATATAATTTTTTTTTCGAGCTAAAATGAGTCGAACACGTTTGTACAAAAGGGTTTTTAGTGTTTGACTCATTTGTAATTTAACACTAAAAATTTTGTTCATATTCAGTTCACTAATTTCGAACATGAGCTACTTAACAAACCAAATAAAAGCTATTCACGAACAACGAGCTTTTTAATAGCCCTACTAGCTGTCATTGCTTATATATTTTCAGCTGCACTTAGTCATCGGGATCATTTTCGACAATTTAAACAAAAATAAATACTTTCAAATAAATATTGAAAAAATTTGATCAACTCATGACTTCGAGATGGGATCTAAGGAACGGGTGCACCTCAATAATATTTTCAAGATTGTTATTTTAAACCTCCTAATTATGGATAATTTGAGATAAATTTCAACGTCTCTGCCATCGACATCTAAAGGACTACTAATCTGCTCCCAAAATATTATATTGAATTGAACGAATCTCGATGCATATTTGGATCATAAGTTATGATCAAATGAGATGTCTCATTAAGACAAATCAAATGACATCTACAAATGATTGATTTGAACCCAATTGAGTCAGGTTCATGCAATTAAAACATAAAAAAAAAACTTCTTAACATACTTTAAGAGACCAAATAATCTCCAAATCTAGCAAATAAAAAGTCAAATTAAGCTTCTGGATGAGAAGAATTTAACACACCGACGATTGCTCAATTTTTGCATCATTCAGACACATAAATAGTCATGGAATATCATACTATAAATGTAATCACTCATGATCATCCGATGAAATGTTCCGTATTCATGTATTATTTATGAACTGCCACTCCTAATATCTATAAACCTTCACACTCTTCATGGGGGGGGACATGAGTTGATGAGAAGATTGAAGAGAGCTCTATGCTCTTAAGGACTTCATCGTTCCACCGCCGCTCAACCCCAACCATCAAAGGACACAGCTGCCTAGCCCCACCTTCGCCACTGCTACGCCACTACCGAACCACGACCGCTCGGTTGCCGCCACTATTGCCAGATCACCGCTATCATTGCACCGACTCCACCCGACTTTCGCCGACATGGGACCAACACATGAAGGTCGACGCTGTGCCACCATTGCCACGTTAAATTGTTGATGACATAACATCGACTGCTACCCTTGATTCACTATTGTAAGGCCACTGCCACAGTCGTAAGGACGACATCATCGAACCACTGACTTCAGATCACTGCTATCATCATGCACTACCATGCCTAGCCACTGGAGCCATGTTGGACTCCCCACCAGCCAACACACCTCCACCGTCATTAAGCCACTTCAGCCATTGTCACGCTGCCATCAGCAAACCACGAATGTAGGGCCACCATCGCTATGTCAGAGCACTATTGTTGGCCTGCCATTGCCACTAAACCACCTACACTCAACATACGCCAAGCCACAATCAGCCTACTAAAGTCATTCGGCTATCAACGTCAAACAATTATCACCATGCCAAACCACTGTCACCCTATCGACATTGAATCATTGTTGCTACTATCAAACCATTATTTCATGGCCACAATCTTCGTCGTCGTCATGTCACCACTATTGGAACACCATCATCGTCAGGACATTATCTCTTGATCGCTGCTATGTCAAATCACCAATACCTAATTACCGTCATTGTTGTGTCCACTATCGTTGTGGCCATATCACCATCTCTCAATCGTCGTCACCACAATAATGAACAACCTTCTTAAGGTCGTCGCCACGATGGATTAGCATTATCTGACCTACTACAACTTTTTTAACTGAACCACAATCGCTACTTTGATGCCGCAGTTGTCGCTATTGTAGCCAAACCATTGTAATCTTCTCGAGTTAACAATCTATAAGTACCCACTATCATCAGATCACCTTCACCTATCAGCCACTGGAGCATGGTCATGGATTGTGCCATCAGTGTTGCTTGTTCGCTATCATTGTTGCTTGATTGCTATCACAATTGCTATCAAAACACCGGTTCCCGATCGACGCCATTGCCACAGTTGGACCTCCATTGCCAGATCATTATTGTCAGATCATCGTCACTTAGCTATGACTACTAAAGTTGTTGGATCATTGTTGCTTAGCTACTATCGTCGTCGATGCTAATAAATCAAGATCGCCATCCAGAGTCTCTATTGTCAGTCTTCCATCACCGCCCATGTCACTTCTCCAATTTCTCACATTCTTGTAATATTATTTTATTTTGTTCAAAAGTAGATAAATTCTGTAACATTTTTCTGAATAGTGGAATCATTTTAACTGAGTTATGCCATGTAACTTTTTTTCTTCTCAGGCATTTCGCATAAAAGCCCCTAGAGCACCATTTATCAACTCTTTTTTTATTTTGTGTGTGTGTGTGTGTTAAATTTTCATATACTACTTAGGCCTTAATATAACCCTGCCTCCTTGAATTCTTCATCATGGAACAACTTGCAACAGAATATCTTTTAAGTATTTCAAATTACTTATTACAAACGTGATAATGATGATTGTGTTTGTTAGGTTATCTTAGCTTTGGGAACTTCAAGAATAGCTTAAATTGTATATTTATAAAGACTAATATGCAAAAATAAAATCTAAGATCCGTTGATTTATTTGTGTTTAAATTATTTATAATTTTATTATTATTTAAAACTAATGATGAATAACTTAAAATATCAAACATATGATATGTGGTTTTACATACAGTTGACATAATTTCATAGTTGTAGCATATTGCCATTAGAAGTACGTTTTAGGAGTAAATTTTGCTGCCAATTTAAAATTATAACAGTTTTAAAGTAATTTTAAAGGATTAGTACATATGATGTGCAAATCAGGAGCGCATTTTCTGACCGGACAACTGACGCAGCTCTACGTCCCGCGGAGGTTATTCCTGGGTTACTTTCCTGAAAATAACCCAGAAATAACCTGCCGTCTTTATTTTTGGGTTAATTCTGGGTTATTTCGGAATTATTGAAAATAACCCAAAAATAACCTGAAAATAACTCAGGAATAACCTCCGCGGCACATAGAGCTACGTCAGGAGTCCGCACAGAAAAATAAGGCGCATATCAGACATACAAGTCGAAGAAAAGCCTCTTTGCCATGTAAAGTAGATTCATTAACTAGTTCAAACTCAGCTTGCTAAATAACTTGCGAATAAAAGTGATGAGCTAACAAATCAATTTTTAAATATTTCAAACAGAGATGTAAAAATGTAAAAATAGGAAAATGATTCATCCAAAATTTCAATCTAACTAATTTTTTTTAAATAAAAAAGTGAACACTATTTCAAAATGCGAATAAAAGTGATGAGCTAACAAATCAATTTTAAATCTCAGGCACGCCCTTATTTCAAATAGAGATGTAAAAATGTAAAAAGAGGAAAATAATTCATCCAAAATTTCAATCTAACTAATTTTTTAAATAAAAAAGTGAACACTATTTCAAAATGAATCATCCTCAGGCTCAATTCATCAAAATATTTGATACTTACTTCTCTAACACTTCAGTATCACAAATAACATCAAAAACGTATGTATATAAGATATATTTACTTCTAAAAAAAAAAATTAAAATTAGTACTTTTTCTAAAGAACAAAATAGCAATCAAGAACTGATTAATGCCATCCTAACTTAACCTTATTGAACCAAGGTGAGCCCTGAAGTGGATGAGCGAGAGCAGATATATTCTCATGTGGATGACGGGCATATAATCTTGGAGGTGGTGAAGGTTCCCTGCCCATGTATGAACCAAATGGAGACATCTGATCAAGAAAAGTAGATGCTTTATCACTAAAAAGAAGACCTCTGAGCCTCGCAGTTATTTGCAAAATTGCTTTCCGAACAGTTCCAAATTCACCACTTACCTATAAATGAGACGAAGATTTCAATTTGCAACTGATAACAACAAAAAAAGAACTGCACACTGACAATGCTGCATAAAGCATGCATCGAGAAAAACAAATTATGATGTGCTACGCAAACTACGGTGAATGCATGTTAAAATAAGGCAATAGAGTGTATCATACTTGAACAACTTCTTCATGTTCTGACACGCCCTTTGGGACCAGATCATTACTCAAAATACGAATCTGGGCTCCAGAAAGCTTCCTCATTTCTTCTATTATGGAACCACCTTTTCCAATAAGACAACCTGCTTGATTGGGAGCAACAAGAAGCCGAGCCATGGCAGTATTATCTTCACTCTTAGAACCTTCTATAAAAATTCTATGAAGGACACGAAGAAGTGCATCCTGTGATGGGGATATTCTATCACCTGGGAGCTACATAATGAAAAACCAATATAATAAATTAAACAGATATCCATAATTTTTTTGGATTTATTGTTCATCTTATGAAGCCAATCACTAAATCTGAAGTTAATTGTTCTGAATATATGCAAACCTAACTGAATTACCATCAAACGAATTGAAAGAAATGATATGCTGCTGCTACTGAACCTTACATTTTATAAGACACTTAAAGGAGCATGTACTTTAATCTATTAAATACATTCTAGTATTTAAGCGTAACATGATCACGAGCTATCAATTATGAGAATCAGCATAATAAACCCTTCGCTAAGGATATTTTCATTGACTGACATTTGTTAGCTTTAGTTTAAGCATTGCCTTTTAAAACTCCTAACCCAAGCCGCAGGGCTAACTCCTTTACATTCCCATGTCATTCACATTAATAATATTTACAGGTAATAGTTGCAACATATGCTTTCAGTTGTGCTCGCACATATCACCAAAGTTTAATAATAAACCTTGTATCCTATCAGGCCACACTTAAGTATCTCTAACACAGACTTTTCCCTTGATCTTCCCTAGTTTTACAACACGCCCATTTCACTTTTCACATTTTCCACATTACCAAGGAGCAATTTGAGATCACGTTTATTTTATTTTATTTTGTGTTTTGTTTATGTTGTGACTTAAAATAAAACATGTTTAGTATGATATAACATCTTTATATCTTTTTAAAAACATTGAAAATAATTTTTAGATGTTTTGAATGTTTTTAAAAATAAGTAATTTGTTTTTAGAAATAAAAATAAAAACATGCAAAAGATGCACTAAAACATATTTTTAAAGGTAAATAAAAAAATAGAATAAAAACAAAAATAAAAAAAACAAAAGTGATCCCAAACAAACCCTGAGTTTTTGTTGATTTTCTCTTTTTCTAAATAATCTAATCCAAAAGACATCCAAGCTTATTAAAACATAATATTATTTACTGCTAAGTTCCATCATATTATTTAACACAAAAAACATCACATTATATATCTTTAGTAAAATGGGTGAAAGGTACCTCGGCCTATCCATAAGACAATTTGATTATCCACAGATATTACAAGATCAAAATCTAAGTTAAAATAATACATGTGCCTTTAAGCATTTTTTTTTTATCAATTCTACTTCTTTTAACTTATAAATGGTGTCTCACTACTCAAAACTTTCTCTTCAAAAAAACAAAATATTGCTTATCAAGCCATGTCATCACAGAACATACAAAACAAGGTTTGATACTACATTATGTTAACAGAAAAAAAAAATAATGAATAACAAAACTAAGAGAACATGAAATCCACAACGTACAGAAAAGAGAACTAGTTTAAAAAAGAAGTAATTCTAAATATTCTGTGATAAGGAAGGCTGTTCAATGAGTTCATATGTGGTAGCTATATGTTAACATCAAGCTCGGAGAAAACTGTACCCAATAAGCATAGTGGAAGGTTGGTAAGTGTTGAGTAAAGAAATCTAAAAGCAGTAAGAAATTAATCTATGTGATGGGTGGGTTTGGCAAGGACAAACTATGCTATATTAAGAGTTGAAAACAGTTTACTCAAAAAACAAAGCGGTTTCAACTGACTGGCAAATAGGAAGAATGGCGACAAGGGACTTTGGATTGGACAGTGAGCAGATAAAAGTAGAGGATGAGAGGGCGGTTGATCTGCAGAAAAGAAAGTTTATCTATAAGAAAGGAACTCGGTTAATTCACACGTCTCTAAGACTATGGAAAGAGGTAAGGCACACCAGATCCACAAACGACCAACTTGAAAGTCCATTTTTCCAACAGAAGGAAATTGGACTGTATCCAACAAAATTTGAGGGTTATACATATAGGAATAGTAAAACCAGAACTATTTATTGCTAGCCCTGAAAATGAACCATAAAAGAGAGAACAATTGAACAAAACTTAAAAATACCTAAAATTATCATAAGAATTTAACATCTAGACTAATCTGATAAATGGTGGGATACCAAGGATGACAAGGAGCAGCTTGAAGGGACCTTCAAGATAGTATACAAGTTCATTGTTCCAGTCCAGGATGCTGTTACGCCTGTTTCTGTTTTGCCCCGATACAGGCATGACCAGTTTGGACACGGCCAACCGGTCCGCTCCTACTACCATCTAGACGCTGACGGGTTCAGAAGAAGATGGCAGAATACCCTGGCACAGCCGTAAGCGATTCCAGCTCCCAAATGGGGCCCACTAAGGCTTTAAACACGTACACAAGAGATGAAATTAAGTGAATTTTGGGGGAAAGTTTGAAAGGCTTCTTGGAAAATATTTAGGTGGGCTAGTGCCTAGGGTTTGTTTTATCTTTTATGCTGCTACAGTTTTTTTTACTCTTGGTGTTCCTAGCAGAGTCCAGGGTTTGTGGAGAGACGATCCACCTCTCGAATAGTAGCTCAACGTGGTATCTTGTTTGCTTTCTTTGAAATTAATAAAATCAGCCCTCGTTTGAGTTTCACCACCTCTATTGCAATTTATTCGTTGTTTGTTCGTTGTTTTTTGTTTCGGATTGTATCAAATTAGTATAAGAGCAAGATCTCAGAGGAATGCCAACAATGAAAGTTGATGTGTTGGAAGGGGAAGTAAGACAAATCAGATCGGGAAAGGTTTGCCATCATAGATGATAGGTATCCTTCCATAGAAAACCGAATGGAAGACATAATTAAGAGCATAGGGGATATATGAGAGATGATAAGGAGGCTCATGGAAATGCAATTCAAGTCCCCACCAATCCCTCAAATTGTAAACTCTGACAAAGGGTTGATCAGCGAATCATTGGCCAAATCAAAAGGGAGGAGATCAAACGAGAGGACAACGAGGATGAAAACATCTACTACTAAGAGCTTCCCCCTAAGACTCCAACAGGAGGGGGTGGAGACTTTCAATGGAGGACGTTGAGCCGAAAATTGGAGGGTTGGTGCAATGGGCACGGATGAGCATGAAGAAGGAAGAGAATAGGGAGTGAGATATGACTATGATTGAAAGAGGGAGTTTCAACCAAGACACTAGAGGAAACGTTGAAGGGAAAGAAAGTTAGCCTGGCGATGTGAGGGTAAGGAAATTGAAGAAATCGATCTTCAAAGAGAAAGCTGCACATGGATAGGTGTATCGAGTAGACCAACACTTTACAGCAAATGTGTTAACAGAGGAAGAGAAACACATGGCGGCAGAGTTATGTTTGGAGAGAAAGGCCCTAGCATGGTTTTAATGGATGGAGGTTAGGTGCCCAATACATTTGTGGGAGGAATTTGAGGATTGCTTGTTGAAAAATTTCTAAGCCATTCGGGAAGGAGATCTGCACAGGAAATTCTATGATTTGGCTCAAGAGGGAACGATCACAGAATATAAAGAGAGATTTGAGCTTTTGTTGGGATAGTTGAGGGGTATTTCCACAACAGTAATGGAGGGGAACTTCTTGAAAGGCCTAAAGCCCGACATCTGAGCTGCCCTCCAACCATTGAGACTGCGTGGATTGAAGAAAATGATAGAGCTCGCACGGATGATGAAATTCAAGAAACAAGTGAAGAAAACGAGGAAAAGGTGACACCACGGGAGGATCCTACAAGAGTGTTTCGACGACCATGGCACCGATGAACTAGACAATGTCATTTCAAAAAGACATGCCAAAGCATTTCAGACAGAGCATGTGGGGCACTGAGAATAGTATTGGAGAAGTTTTTGACAGAGCATCATTTATACGCCAACTTGAAGAAATGTTTCTTTGCACAGTTGCAGGTGGAGCGCCTAGGATATGTGGTGACTAGGATAGAAGTAGCAGCAAACCAGTTCAAGATCAAGGCGATGGTGGACTGGCCTTCGCCAAGAAGTTTGAAGAAGATGAGGGGAATCCTAAATCTCTTTGGATGCTATTAAAAACTCATAAGGGGTGCGACATGATAGGATGGCAACTAACAGAGCAGCAGAAGAAAAACTATTATAAGTGGAGGGAAGCGACAACTCAGACCTTCAAACATATTAAGAAAGTCGTGATCAGTGTTCTAGTATTAGCACTCCCAGATTTTTGTCGATCAATTGTGGTAGAGGCGGATGTGTCACGATATGGATTGGGAGCAATACTCATGCAGGACAACCAGTTGATTGCCTACTTCAGTCAGGTGCTCACAACTAGAGCGTGCTTAAGTAAGTGTACGAGTGGGAGTTGATGTCTATTGTCTTGGTCATTCAGAAGTGATGTCCTAGCTGTTGGGGCAACACTTTCTAGCCAGGATAGACCAAGAGAGCTTAAAGTATTTTTTTAAGCAGAGGATGGTGACCAAAAAATATCAGATGTGGATATCTAAGTTATTGCTATATGATTTTTAGATTTAGTATCAGTTAGGAACACAGAATAAAGTCGTTGAAGCAATGTCAAGTAAGTTGAAAGAAGCCCTAGTTGACAACCTTATCAATATCCTTGGGCCAGAATTGGAAAGCTAAGAAGGGCATGAGCAAGAGGAAAGGCTGAAAAAATACGAGTAAAGTAGCTACAAGACCCAACAGTCATTCAAAATATGCATTAAAAAGGGCAACTATTGTACCACGGTTGTTTCGTGTTGTCGAGAACATTGAAATACATCCCCAAATAATTACATAAGTTTCACGACAGTGCCATTCAGGGGCACTCCAGAGTACAAAAGACATACAGTTATTTATCGACAGAGCTTTATTGGATAGAGATGAGCAGAGACAGAGAGAAAATGATAGCAATGTGCAATGTGTGCAAACGACACAAGTATTTGAGAATGATACAAAGAGGGTTACAGCTCTTAGCCTTAACGAAGAAAGTTTGGGAAAAAGAGATGATTGATTTTATAGAGGGGCTGTCAAGATCAGAAGGGTTTAAGATGATCTTGGCCGCAGTTGATCGCTAATACAAGTATGCACATTTCATCACATTACGACAACCCTACACAATGGTCTCAGTCGCTGCGATGTTCATATTGAACTAGTCTGTTTGCATGAAGTATGGGAATCTATT